TAGCTTGCTGTGTGAAAACAATATCCATTCACGTCATAACCAGTAAATGACTTGACCCTAACGGCACAGCCATTTGAAACCTGTCTCAGCTCATTACTTATAGACGCATCAGTTTGGGCTTTCTGTTTGAACCAACAAATGAAATCGGGGCTCCCTGGTCCCGCACCCCATGAAACAAGGGTATCATTTTCTTGCTGGGTAGGTTGCCTTGATCCATGCTAGGATTGACGAAGAAATTCCCTATACCAATGAGAAACAAGGGGGTTGGATGAAGAAACAAGGACATACAGCGGAATGAAACAAGTTTGTTCAGAACTTACCCAATGAACGGCTGCACCTCGACAAGGTTGGTCAACACATATAGCATGATACTGTGCCACTCTTCATTTTTCAATTGCTTAGTGGTCGATGCACTTGCGCTTCTGAGTTGCCCTTGGAAAAGGCTGAAGTTTGATTCATTTTCGCCAGCATTGTAACGAGGGGTGGATTATAAATGCTAGGAAGAAGGTCATCGAAATAGGGGAGCCTCGTCATGCCCGAGATATGAGTCCATATATGTTGCTCACCATATCCCATAAAACCACCTTCTTCATTGGGCACGAGAGCATCTATCTGAGCATGAACCTTGGCACCAGTCATCATCCATGGTGTAGGGTTTGTCACTTTGACACCTTTTGTAAAGTTCCTGATGTCTTGTCTAAATGGATGGTCAAGAGGTAGGAATTGACGATGTCTGTCGAACGACAAATACTTGTCACCCTTCTGCAACCAAATGAACCTCACACCTTCCTTGCATATTGGGCATGGGAACTTCCCGTGAACACACCAGGCGTAGAATATCCCATACGCTAGGAAGTCATGCAGGGAGTAGTGGTACCAAACGTGCATTTTGAAGGTTGTCTTTGTAGCTCAATCGTATGTCCATACCCCTTCGTCCCAAGCACGGACCAATTCATCAAACACGGGCTCCATGAACACACCCATATTACTCCCTGGGTGTCCAGGAATTATCAACGACAAGAATACGTTATGTTGTTGAAAGGAGACACCGGGGGGAGATTAAGGGGAATAACGAAGATGGGCCAACATGTGTATGGGGCAGCCATCATTCCATAAGGATTGAACCCATCTATTGCTAGCGCGACACGTACATTACGAGCCTCATCTGCTTTGTCACGATGTTTGTCATTAAAGCGGATCCAAGCTTCACCATCGGATGGATGTACCATCTTGTCAGGATTGTACCGTTTGCCATTTTTGTGCCATGTCATCTGTTTCGCGGATTCCTCGGTCATGTATAGCCGTTGGATCCTCGGTAGGAACGGAAGGTACTGTAGGATTTTCACGGGGATCGTAAGTTGCCTCTTCTGGCCATCATCAGAGTCTACCTCTAGTACCTCGAGGATTTACACTTTGGACAGAACTTTGAATGCTCGTGTTCTTTCCTAAATAGGACGCACCCCTTCGGACAAGCATGTATCTGCTCATACGGCATCTTAAGTGCATGAAGGAGTTTCTGTGACTCGTATATTCTCTTTGGCAGAATGTGGCCCTCCGGAAGTAGGGTGTCAATCACGGCCAACATCTTATCGAAGCCAGGTCGACTCAAGTTTAACTCGGACTTCAACCCCATTAAGCGTCCAATGGCATCCAGTTGAGACACCGTTGACCGATCGTGAAGGGGTTTCTGTGCCGAGTCCATCATGTTGTAGAACGCCTGTGCGGCTGCCTCCATCTCCTCCTTCTCACGTCCCTCATCGAACTGTCCTTGGTGAAAGTCATCTAACATGTCTACTACTCCGGCATTAGCATCAAAAGACTCCACCCGTGGTCTCACCACCTCCTCTCTTATACGATGGGCTTCACCATGGTGGACCCACCGGGTGTAGTCCGGCGTAAATCCATTCTTCACAAGATGTTTACCCATTTCCACCTTGTTTACCCTTCTCATGTTTCGACATTTGTTGTAGGGACACAAAACTAGGCAATGTCCTTTAGCAGCCTTGCCAAATGCACTGTTCAAGAAAGCATCGGTCTTGTTCATCCATTTTGTGGTGTAATCACTCTGACTTCTCCAGCCCGTGTACATCCACTAATGGCCATCCATCCTCTAACATATGTATCAGCGAGTAATGTAACCATCAATTGCATCTACATGGTGTTCCTACTGTCTAATAGGTGAGGATAGGTCCTAATCCCACCCGCGGATGCATAGATGAGGTTAGTTTCCATGCTCTACTCATATCCGAGATAGAATTTCGGCAGCACCTCCCCGCTGTTCTCCAGATACACGTCCTGCCAAAGAAGAGTGCGTATCCGAAGAACAATAGGGAGGTGATGCTGAAACTCTATCTCGGACCGGAGCAGACCATGGAAACTAACCCATCTACGCATCCGCTGGCTGTCCAAAAAACGTGGACAATTCGAAATAGATACGGTCATAGATATGCAAAGATCTGCATACCTCCAACCGTATCTCTTTCGATTGGGAGACGCCTAACTGGGTTACGCGATCTATGACCATGATACGAAAAGAGGGGTTATACCTAGGGTGGCGGCGGAGTCAGGCTAGCGGGGCCGTGGCAGGTCGGTGCAGGGGCGAGGCGACGCGGTGTAGGCAGACCGGCACGGCGACAGGAGCTCGGACTCGACTCCGACGGGCTCTTCTCTACAAAACGGAACAAAATACTGTCATTTAAAAAAAATTCGGCAGAACCTCCCCTGCACGGTGAGGTTTCCAAAACATACAAAAAACAGCGGCACGATAGCCGACAAGCACATATGTCTCAAGAGAAGCCATGTGGTTTGGATATCAATCCATGCAGAAGAATATATCCAAGTAGTACCACTACTTCTACTACTACTTCCACTATTGCTACTACTACTACTACCACTATTGCTACTACTACTACCACTAGTTCTACTACTACTACCACTACTTCTACTACTACTACCACTAGTTCTACTACTACTACTACAACTAGCACTACTACTACAACTAATACTACTACAACTATCACTACCACGACAACAACAAGAGAGAGGGCATACCTGACGGGCGCGGGGGTAGGGGCGGGCAGCGTTGGGGTCGGGGTAGGGGTCGCCGGAGTCGGGAACAGGGTCGGGCACGGGCGGCGTCGAGACGGGCAGTCCACGGGGTGTGGCCGAGGGCAGGGCCGGCTCCTCAGCGTTGGAGGGCCGGCGTGGGAAGCTGTGCCACGCCGCCACTGTGGTGCTGGGTAAGAGGCGGCAAGCCAGTGGCCGGTGGCTGGCGGGCGTGGGGGCAACGTACGTGACAAATTGCACGAAATCTTCTGAAATTTTGATCATAGCCTCCACATATGATATCACGACATCTCAACAAGTTTCATGATTTTCAGACTTCGTTTGCTTTTTATAAAATTTAAAAACACTTCGCACACAAGTTCGCGGTCATGTTTCGTGAACAAGATGTCCGAAATTTCAGGTCCGTTCCTGATACGGCCTCACACTACACTCACTAACATGACTATCAATTTTTGAATCATTAAATTCCATTATTTGTACCACGTGCAGTTCAAATTTATATTTTTCGAAAAAATTCAAGTAAACGAAATAAAGTAACTACATATATAAAAAAACCACAAAAAATCCCCAAATTCTAACTAGGAGTTCCTAGTACTTTAAAAGGGCTGCACAAAAAATTTGAGGCCAAAAACAAAAAAAAACTTTGCGGAGTGCCGGGGAATGGCACTCGGCAAAGGGGGTCTTTGCGAGTGCCAAGAATAAGGCACTCGGCAAAGAGTGTTTTGAATTTTTTTTTAAAAAAATCCTCTTTGCCGAGTGCCTTCGCAGGGGCACTCGGCAAAGGCATTTCGAAAAAAAAATTTTGCCGACGGCCGGATCGGGGGCACTCGGCAAAGTATTTTCCAAAAAAAAAATCTTTGCCGAGTGCCGGATCTGAGACACTCGGCAAAGAATTTTTTTTAAAAAAACCTTCTTTGCCGAGTGCCAAGCCAGGTGGCACTCGGCAAAATATTTTCCAAAAAAAAATCTTTGCCGAGTGCTAGATCTGGGACACTCGGCAAAGAATTTTTTTTTTTTAAAAAAACTTCTTTGCCGAGTGCCTAACAGTAGGCACTCGGCAAAGAAGGATGTGACCGAACACCGTTACGCGGGGCAGCCTATGTCGAGTGCCGCTCTTTTGCCGAGAGCCTAGCACTCGGCAAAGAAGTCCTTTGCCGATAGCCTTTTTTGTCGAGTGCGCGGCACTCGGCAAAGACCTACTCAGCGAAGAAGGTCTTTGCCGAGTGCCCGATTTTTAACACTCGGCAAAGCAGTTTGCACTATGCAAAGATCCCGTTTCCAGTAGTGCGGGATTGGGAGGAGGAACCGTTGCTGGACATGCTGGCTGGTGGAGTGCTGGGAAAAATCTAAGCTAGGGTTTGGATGTGCTTATATACTCTCATCCAACGGCCAGAACACATCCTGAGACCATCCAACGGCTAAAAAAGACCAGGCCATATCGTGTCGGCCTATTAACCATGCCGTGCCTGTGCCGACACTGCGGGCCGAACCTGCGGCCCAGGCATGGCCCTACATCGTGCCCGTGCCGACACTGGCACTATAGGCCTCGTGCCTGTTTCGTGTTAGTGCCGTGCTTTTTCGGGCCGGACCCGTGCCTGGCCCATTTGGACGTCTATATTGGGAGTAGTTCCCAATGCCACCAATGCGCAATGCCGTGGAGACGTGATAGATGTGGCTTCGTGTGAACCCCAGCGACGGCGATTAACGCGATGTGGCTGCTGGTTAATCCCATGCATGTATGGACAAGATCGAGGCATGCATGCAGATTATTGCAGGGCCTTGGCCGCATGGCCTATATATATATATATATATATATATATATATATATATATATATATATATATATATATATATATAGCCAAAGCAAGCATCTGGAGCTCGCTACAAGCGCAGACACAGCAGCTACCTGAAGAGAGACTGAGAGACTGAGACACATGGCGGCGAAAGGGCAGGGGTCCGACGACGACCTCAAGACGTCATGGCCGGAGCTGGTGGGATCGCCGGGGCACTTCGCGCATGACATGATCCACAAGGACAGGCCGGACGTGCAGATCCCGGTGCTGGTGGTCGGCACGCAGGTGCCGCCGGACTACGACGACAAGCGCGTCCGCCTCTTCGTCTACCAAGACTACAATCTGAAGGTCACCCTCACCCCCGTCGTCGGCTAGGGCTCTAGATGTTGGATATATCATGGGCTTGGCCCATATAATATTTAATAAATCTAATAAAACTCTATGATACGTAACATTAAGCGTTGTATTGTTTAATATTGTATGAGATTTTGACTGAACGTTGACTCAGCTTATATGGTTTGAAATTATTCATCTTAATTGAGAAGCTGAGAAAAGGACATAGGCGTGCCACACGCGCCCGCGCCGTCGCCGGCGCCGAAGGCCGGGCCGGGCCGAGGCCGTGGGCGTGGCAAGCCCACAGGCGGGCGGCGAGCGGGCGGGCGTGGCCAGTCTTTTGCCACTTAATCCACATAATTACGGAAGTTTTCTCTCCTTTAATTATGGGATTTTTCTCTCCTTTATGGTGGAGACGAGGTGATTGCGCCATTTTCGTTTCCCCGTCTCTTCGTGTCTCCGTCTCCTGGATTCCTCCGCTGGCTCTCTTCCTCCCCATCGTAGGCATAAAACAGGACGTCCTCCGTCAGTCCTTCCTCCCTTCCACTATCGCTCCCGAGAGAAACCACATCTCAGCAGCCCTCTGCGCGCACGGAGTAGCGGGAGAGCAGGTGCCTCCGGAACCCTCGTCCGCTTGAGAACCTTGCACGGGGTGAGCGGCGATTAGGTTTTGGGGAGCGATCCGCGACTGCTCGTCCACGTACGTCTTCTTCCTGGTGGTGATCGCTCTCGTAACCCATCTTCTTCCTGGTGACCGTTCGTGGGACTGCACTGCGAACATCTTCCTGCATCGACTATGGTCCACGACTTCGAGCAACGCACTATGTCGACTAGTGCGAATGGAGCCTCCGATGCCCTCGGCATGGGACCCTCCGTTGGGTATATTCTTATCTCTGTAATTACCGCATTTTGTGTTCTTACTATATCAATCTGTATGTCATGTCTGCATGCTGTAGCGTTCGTTAGTGATATACACATGCACATATATGTCGTCACAAACCTACTGATGTTATATTTCTGTATTAAATTGACCATAAAAATACCTAATTATCTAACACTAGATAGCCTACCTACCTACCTAGCCTATACATTCTCAGTCTGCTGCTCGATCTGGCTGGCTCCATCCATGTGTCGTCTAAAGGCTATCTATACTACTTAGAGCAAGTCTAACAATTTAGCCTGCTGCCGGCTGCAAGAGCATGACATGTCATATACAGTCAGTTATATAGCCAACTCATATTATGGCTTAGCTGTTTGACGGGCTGTAGCATTTAATGATCACAGTACAAGAGTACGTGAAATGGGAAAGAAACGCCAGCTTCTCGCTCGCAGCCGGCTAGAAAAAGACGTTTTCTCCTCGTACGTTGCGCTGCAGTCGGCGAGGAGTTTACCGCCCGCTCCAAATTCTCTCTCTTTACGTGGCTGGTTTTTCGATGACGTGGGTCCTCCTCGCCGGCTAAAAGGCGATTATTATACCTGCTCTGAACAATAATTCTAGCTACATGCTGGTACAGTGGTGTATCTAGACAGAGCTTGCATGCGCGCGTGTGCCTGAGCAGTGTGCATATAAATGGATTTGCATCAGATAGCACATAGCAGGGGTTTGCATTATTGGCTGTATATCTCCCACGCGGGTATAGAGGCCGGATTTTATATGCTTTATCTAAAAAAGCACGTAGCATGGGTCCAAGATTAACCTAGCTAGATCGAATTAATTGAGTAAGTGCATCTCCAAAAGATTAGTCAAATCATTTTGTACTAGTATTAGAACACATACCCTTGAACAGACGTCCGCCAAAAGCCTCGACGAGCAAATGACGAAGCTCGCACGTGAAAAAAACATTGCCGATCCGAAAAATCTTGTTGATGTGACACTTTTAAATATGGAGAGTCCATGTTTTTTAGAGTGTGTTGGACTACTCTAATATTTTTTTATCAGATCTATTTTAGAAAATAACTAAATCTGTAAAAAAAATTGATCTCAGCTAAATCAGTAAATTTTGCTACAAGTAATGATTGTGAAAAATATCAATTGTTTATATTGACAAGAAAAATATAGTGGAGAAGTGAGGAGGGAAATGACAAATTCATGCACGCGTGCAGTACCAACAGGGAACAAAGGATCTTGCAGGATCAAAATCTCTTTTGCTTTGGACAAAGTAAGAACTTGTGTTAGGAATTAGTCTCCTCGGCGCCAACCAGTACTCCGCTAATGTACATGTGTGAAAGCATAACAATTGAATCTACCTAGACGAACAAGTAAAATCATAGAACAACACCGGAGACATGATATTTTCATACGAGCATTTACATCTCTAGGGCATCACTACGATGTGCTCCTCCCCAGTACTACTAATACTAGTCTTTTAGGTTCCGACGAGATCCGCACCCCCACTGTTACTAAAATGTTAACCGAGAAGGGTATGTGTTAATCACAGACTCCATTGATCGGTTGACAAAAAAAACCAAAAAACAAGCCGTGAGCCCATCACCGAAAACAAATCAAGGTGGGACTAGGGCGTCTCCAACAATATGAATTAGCATCGGCTCTAAGCTGGCAAATGTGGAGGAGAGAGACCACAGCAAGCAATTTTCAACATTGTGCTGCGAGAGAGGTATATCATGAAACATGTGAGACTATCCTTGGCTCCACGCTAGTCTCTTACATTCTGAGTCGGACCATTGGAGGTGCCCGAATTTTACTAGAACAAAACACATGTGACACAATGGGCCTAAAACAAAGCACTAATATGTCAAGTATTACATTATTCCCCTCCTCCTGGGTTAACGCTCTCATAGCTTGTTACCGCTTTCATAGCATATGAATACCCAACACCCCCTTGTCGGTGTTTGGGGACTGGCAACACGTCACGGGGTTACCCGAGATGATGATTGAAGGGCTTTGACGTATGCAGAACTCGACGGTAAACGTGAAGACATCGATTTATACTGGTTCATGCCACTATGGTAGCTTAATACCTTACATCCAGTTTGGCGTGATGCCTTGCATTCGATTGTATTGCATGATGTGTGTACAAGGGGGTGCCCCTGTCTCTCTTTATATGGTCCAGAGGGTAGGCACACTAATCTAGTCCTAGTCGGTTACAACAGAGGAGTTCTAGTTCTATTACTCAGACTAACTTTCCTAGTAATCCGATTGGCGACTAGGTCGGTCCTTGATAGCTTGGAATACACGCCACCTTGTCTCGTGTCTTCAGGCAGGCCATGAGCTGGCCCATGCCCATGGCGGGTAGTCGGCCCTGTGGGGAACCCCTACAATCCTGGTCCGTCACCCCCTCCCCACCTCTGTTTCATATGAAACATGGACCCTATCTAGCAAGGGTTAGTGATTTTGGTGGTTGAATGACAATACAACCATTACGACTAACAACATTTGCTATTATACAAGATATATTAGTCACAGGGGTGCAAATATGAACTTGAGCTAGGCTACCTTGAACATGAATAAGAAATCAACACCTCAAAATGAAGATCAAAGAGAAGCACTAAAAACGCTTGAAGACAAAACAAGAAACTCTAAGACATCAAGAAGAAGCTCAGACAAAAGGACACATAGAAAACACAGTCAGAGAGCGCTAGCTAGATCTTTCCGGTGGCACCACATATATCCGGTGGGTGCACTGGAGTTTTCAAACGGGCACAGTCCAAGGCATATGAGGAAGATGCCACGACATACTTCTGGTGGCTGCACTAGAGTTTGAGTGGCACGATGGAAAGAAGAGGAGGGCACCGGAGCTCTGCGGTGCAAGCACCAGAGTTTTAGGCTCAACCTAGGAAGGGCATGACAAAGCACCTGATAGTTTAATTCTAAGCATGCCATTTGTATTAAAAAAAGTACATTATCAAGTTTTAATTCTTTTATAGACAAAACTCAATATCTCGAGCGCTATGTGCATGGTAAAAACCTTATTATATGTGCCATTATATAGTAACTAAGAATTCATAATAGGACATAAAACATATATTTTAATAAAGTATATAGCTTTGAACTAGATATAATAAGCATTTGATTTTCATATTAGCATGCTAGAAAATAAAGAAGTGCAACAACTAACAAAATCAAAACTGGAAAACTAAAATATGTATTTCGATGTCATGACACACATAGCCTACCACAATAACCAACACAACTCAAGTTAAGATTTCAACAAAACACAAGCTCCCTCATTCAAAAATTGGTAACAAAAAATTTATCATAGCCGGATTAAGAGTAGGGATTGTGTTTTAAAAAATAACGGATAGACATGAAACATATATATATATGTAATTTTGGTTAGTCGTGGGTTCTAAATTCTTGCACACTTGAATTTTAGTACTTATTATGTACTACGTCTCCTAAGGATCTATGATGAGCTGAATAGCTGGCTTCAAACAAATCACCAGATTCCATATATAGCTGCAAAACAAATCACCAGATTCCATAGTAGTGGCTAGCTGGGTGCTCCCAAACAAATCACCAGATTCCATGCACTACCAAAATGGTGGACTTCTCCTGTGCTTTTAAGTAGTAATAAATCACTACCACTAGTCATAGCATATGGGAATCTTACTAGAAGACATTTATTAGGGAAAATTTATACTAAATTTTAAATGCTAAAACACTAGGATCGAGAAGCCCACCTCACTAGGAGAAGTCTAAAATTCTGGTTGTAGTGTAAGGATCTCATCTGCTCTTGACAATGACATGGTGCAGCTCCTTGACAATGGTTAGTGCCACAAACTGCAGTTAGCACTTAGCGAGTAGAGAAATGAATAAGGATATCCAGTGCTGAAGTTGTCCCAGCTCACTGTTTGAACGGCCCCAACCCCGACCCCGCCTCTGGATCCCTTCCCACCGCCGCCACCGGCGCCGACGCACCACCCTCCCCCTCCCTCCCTCCCTCCCCACCACCAGATCCCCTACCCCTCCCTCCTAGCCAGCCTGTGTGCTGGGACGTGCTGTCATGGCTCCACTGCCCATGGCGGACCACTTCGCTGGACCTCAGTCACCTAAGCCGGGTGCCGCCGTCGCGGCCGCCCTG